TTCTGCCGCGCGCTAGGTTACTAGACCAGGGGAAGGTGGCGTGCGGGGCAGTCGTGAGCGGCGCGGCAGTTGCAGCAAGAACGCTCGTCGAATACTGTAAATATCTGAACTATAATAAAGAAATGGACATTTCTACAACCGAAGCCCCCCAGCTTAGACTTTTCTGAATCGAAATATCCAACTCCCGAACTGCTCACTCGAATATTGACACGTCCATCTTACTTGATGCGAACAGTTGTCACGAAGATATTCTGCCGCGCGCTAGGTTACTAGACCAGGGGAAGGTGGCGTGCGGGGCAGTCGTGAGCGGCGCGGCAGTTGCAGCAAGAACGCTCGTCGAATACTGTAAATATCTGAACTATAATAAAGAAATGGACATTTCTACAACCGAAGCCCCCCAGCTTAGACTTTTCTGAATCGAAATATCCAACTCCCGAACTGCTCACTCGAATATTGGCACGTCCATCTTACTTGATACGAACAGTTGTCACGAAGATATTCTGCCGCGCGCTAGGTTACTCGTTTTACATTGTATACGTGACAGTTGAATGCCTACAATTTGAGCTTTAGGGGCTTTCGCCGGCTCTGCTATTCCGAAGCTGCGGTGCAGCTTATACTAGCGGTGTTGTGTGTAGCGAAACCAGTACGAGGGGGACGTGCTGTGAAAAACCCTTCTATCACCTATGGTGGGGATCATCAGTAAGGTGGACTGTCCTTTTCAGGAGACAACCCACTTAGCCACTGCTCCACTGTGCAAGCCTCGCTTGGAGGTGAGTGGGGCAGTGTTACCAGCAGGGGCCACGTGGAGGCGGGGTTGTCAGCATATGCATGGCATATGCTCAGTCCCTTGCAGGCTCATGCGAAGGTGCAATGCATGAGTAATTGATTGCGGCCGATTCGGCTCATCTTGCTTGCGCAGGATGCCTGCGAGGCCAGGAATCGGCCGATTGCGGACTGTTATTGTTGTCCGGGTACTATTCGCGTGCTTTCATGGCTGACTTTGCAAATGCCTGGAGGTGTAGGATTGCTTTTGGTTCAGTAAGCATCTTGAATTCACAGGGCCATGGGAGGTGTTGTCTTGTGAATTGTGCTTCTAGTTTTTTCCGATGTTCTGTGTGAAGTGGGCAGTCGAAGATTACGTGTGCAACCGTGTCTGGCCTTCCACAGCTGCATTTGTCGGACTCTACCAAGTTCAGCTCCTTTAATTTGGAGTTGAACTTGCCATGTCCAGACAGCAGTTGCATGCTGTAGAAGTCAGGCTTTAGTTTCGCCCGTAATCTGGTTGGGATGTCTGGGAAGAATTGATGGGTGATCCTACCTTTGGTGGAAGAGTCCCATCGCATCTGCCAGACATCTACTGTGTGTTTCTTGATGCGTTGTGTTATTTGTGCTGTTGTGGTGTCTGTGTCTGTATGTGTGTTGTGTGTGACTGGTGGGATGGTCGTGTCTCCAATTATGATTTCCTTGCCTTTCCTGAGGTTGTATAGCGCGGTCCTCTCCTGCAGCAGCAGGTCGATCGGGGCAGCCGCGGCCAGTACTCTCAGGGCATCATTGGAGATTGTTCTATATGCACGCGTAACTCTGAGTAGCGCATTCCTTTGCGCACTCTGCAGTCTCCTAATATGGTGGGTGTTGACCTTGTCAGCCCACCCCGCCGCTGCGTAGCAGATTATTGCTACAAATACTCCTTTATATAGCTTTAGGGTGGTACCGAAGTCAAGCCCCCAGTGAGACTTGCAGACTCTCGCGAAGCCCTGGAATATGGCCTTAGCCTTCCGCGCGATCTCGTGCACGTGTGGGGTGATGTTGAACCTGGGGCCGAAGTTTACCCCTAGATATCTGACGACGTTCCTCATTTTAATAGATGTGTTCCCGATTTTGATAGTAGGGGGGCGCCTGATGTCCAGGAGTCCCTTCAGGAGGATCATTTCGGTCTTAGGCTCTGACAGGTGGAGCTTGTGTGCTCGGCACCATTCTGCGATTGTTTTGGTCGCCTTGTTGCCTTCGACCTCAAGTTCCTTTCTGGAGTCCCCAGAAATTAGAACAATGAGGTCGTCGGCGTATGCGACGCTAGCGATGTTTTTAGTGGCTATGAGGTTCAAGAGGTCGTCAAATATCAGGTTCCAGAACCTCGGTCCCAGGACGGACCCTTGCGGGCACCCTTTAGTGCTGCTTTTGCCGACTTTCCTGCCGCTCCTGCTGGTTATCTGCACGGATCTCCCCGAGAGATAGCTCTGGATGAGACCGTAGAGATTTGCAGGGCAGTTTCGTTTCTTTAGGCTATTGAGAATAGAAGGCCACCAGACATTGTCGAATGCGCCAGCTATGTCGAAGAGAAGTCCTATGACGTATCGTTTTTGGCATTGCGCTGTTATTTGCCTGACTCTAACAATGGCATCCTCCGAGGATCTGGCATGGCGGAAGCCATATTGTTGGTCTGCGACTAATGTGTGGGTGTCTAGTATGTGTTTTAGTCTGCCTGCGATCAGCCTTTCAAGTGTTTTGCTAAGGACTGGTAACAGGCAGATCGGTCTATACGACTTAGGGTCGGCGGGTTTTTTTTCAGAGTTCTTCAGTAGGACTCTGATTTCGCCCCGCTTCCACCTATCTGGAAATATAGCTGTTTCTAGGCAAGTGTTAAATAATTTTATGATTTGCGTGTGTAATATGGGCCAAGATCTTTTCAGAATTTCAGGTTCCATTGCGTCAATGCCCGGGGCCTTCTTTCCTTTTATCTTTTTTATTGCGTCGCTTATTTCAGCTGAACTGAACGCAGGGGTGTTGCTGCTGTCCGGAGGGAACCGGGTACTAGTTCTAACTCTTTTGTGGCATTGTGTCTCAGATTCCACCTCGTCGTCCGGGACAAGGCTGTTTAGGAGTAGCTCAGCTGTGTCACACCAGGTTAGCGTGTGGTCATTTAGGTTGCTGAGGTTATTGCAGACTTTCATGGTGGGTATTTTCTTTGTTTGTAGTTTATAGATAATACCCCATGCGTCTTTGTTCCCCTCAGTGGTTACGAAGTTTTGCCAGCTACTGAGTTTAGATCTTTTAATGAGAGCATAATATCTATTTCTGGTGGCTCTGTATTGTAGGTTAAGTTTCTCTTTGAGTGCGGGGTTGTGTGTTTGCTGAGTCTGCCTCCTAAGTTTCCGGAATTCTTTTTTTAGGGTGTCCAGCTCTTTATTCCACCATGGGACGGATTTAACGAAGCATGCTTTCCGAGGGATCGATACAATACTGGCTAGGGTGATCCTGTCCTCGAGCTCCTTCGCTTGCGTGTTAGGGTCGGCGTCATTACTGATATTTGAATTTTGTGTGAGCTCAGAGGTGAGGGTGTTCTCGAACTTCTTCCAGTTTGCCCGCTTTAGATTAAACCGGTTGGTGGGAAGCCCGAGATCTCTCTCGTCTGAGTGTTCAATTTGAAACGTAATTAGATTATGGTCGCTCATGGTCACCTTGTCGTGTATGTCCCAATTGTGGACCCTGTTTGCCAGCGGGCCGGCCACTAGGGTTATGTCTATGTTGGACTTTCCTCTGGTGTTATCAAAGGACCATGCGCTAGATAATTGATTGGCTATGAAGAGGTTGTGCTGTGAGATGAGATCTTCGACAGCTTCGCCTCTATTGTCGGTGTCAAGGTTGTGCCAGAGGGTGGATTTCGCGTTTATGTCTGCGAGGACTAGGA